GGACGATTATTCCAATCATCACATATCACAAAGGCTGAACGTTCCACAAAGGACTATCAAATGGAAATTGGAATCTACTCCAAGTCTCTAACACTGAGCCAGAAGTAAAAAGAGTCTGTTATAGGGACCTCCCTGGTGCCGCAGTGGTTAAGAATCCACCTGCCAATGCAGGGGACATGGGTTCGATCCCTGGCCCGGGAAGATCCCACATGCCGTGGAGCAACTAAGCCTGTGGGCCGCAACTACTGAGCCCATGTGCCTAGAGCCCATGCTCCGCAACAAGAGAAGCCACCACAGGGAGAAGCCTGCACACTGCAACGAACAGCAGCCCCCGCTTACTGCAACTAGAGAGAGTCCGCGCACAGCAACAAAGACCCAACACAGCCAAAAAAAAGAAAAAGAGTATGTTAGAGTCTCTACGTCTAAGGTGAAATCTTAAGATTCAGAGCAGTGATTGCCCTGCCTCAGCCAGCCATAAATATCTCCTGGTCTGAAAAATTCATGCCTGCCAGATTGTTGGAACAATGCAATATTATTTCAAAACATCCATGATTATGCAAATACAGAGAGAATAATTAAAAATAAGGATATAATAAGAGTTACTGGAGTTCCATTAATAAAATCTACCTCAAGGGACTTCCCTGGGGGTCGAGTGGTTAAGACTCTGTACTCCCAATGCAGGAGGCACAGGTTTGATCGCTGGTCAGGGAGCTAAGATCCTACATGCCATGAGGCCGAAAACTAAAATAAAACAATTTTTTTTTAATTAAAAAAATTTTTTTAATAAATAAATAAATAAAATCTACCCCAAAAGGTATTCTGTCCCAAAGGTTTCTGGGCCACTGAACATGTTGAAAGGGAGCAAAAATATTATGTTTGCATGTTTTTTGCTAAATGAATAAAATGTGGAGAGTTGGCTAATCCTCTCAATAATTAGATCAGGGCTTTTCCTCTAAAAGAAATCCAAATATTAGCTTTCCCTTTTTCTCATTTTGTAACCATAGGTGTGCCTTATTTTAAAAGACATTGTGTTCCTGGAAGGATGTATGCAAACAATACTTTTAGAAATGAAATCATATAATATCTAAAGATGCCAACTATTTTAGGGCTCCTTATCCTGAATTTTTAAAAAAATTAATAAATGTGTTTGCAGTGAAAATATTCACTTTCTAATTCTTCCATCTTTGTAAAAGTAGATTTTAGAGGCTCACATTTATCTTGTAGAGTATAAGAAGAATTATAGGGCTTCCCTGGTGGCGCAGTGGTTAAGAATCCACCTGCCAGGCTTCCCTGGTGGCACAGTGGTTGAGAGTCCGCCTGCCAATGCAGGGGACACGGGTTCGTGCCCCGGTCCGGGAAGATCCCACATGCCGCGGAGCGGCTGGGTCCGTGAGCCATGGCCGCTGAGCCTGCGCGTCCGGAGCCTGTGCTCCGCAACGGGAGAGGCCACAGCAGTGAGAGGCCCGCATACCACAAAAAAAAAAAAAAAAAA